GAGTCATAGAGTGGACGCATTCATATGCTAAAGATGAACTCGACGAGTTCAAGGAAGAACTCGCCGAGTCAGTTGAAGATTGACTAAAGTGTTGTTAAAGGTGAAACTCATCGAGCTCTTGCTAGACTCGACGAGTGGTGTCGGGTTTGTAGTATTATGTGGACGAAGGGACTCGGCGAGTTGGCGGACCAACTCGGCGAGTCTGGTCAACCAAAGAGTTGACGTGAACAGGGTTTGACCTTGATTTGACTTGGATTCAAGTTGACCCTTGAAGGGATTGTGGGTACAAATTGATAACTTAGAAGGTTGTCATGTAGGGATTGAGGAGTCGAGGAGAGCCGACTTTCACACCGAGGACATTTCAGACACTACATGACATCGAGGTGAGTTACCTTCCAGTAGAAGTGGGTCTTAGGCACCAAGGCCGACCCACTAGTAATTGTTAGTTGGGACGATTATCTTTGTGATAATTGCCTGGTCTGTTATTGTTGGATATATGAGTATGCTAGATTGCTAGATATGTGAGTAGCTAGTTTGCTAGTTGCCATGTTACGGAAATAGTATCAGTAGAAGGGGGACTAGTCCCCGATTTGGTCGCTAGGACCAATGGGTAGGTCGGATACCCCATATATGTCTGACAGCATGATTATGATATGATATTATGTGTTAGTAGTAGGGGGTGAAAATAGTCCTCATGTGCAGTTAAGATAGACCGAAGGGTAGGTCGGCACCCCAGAATGGCTCGACATAGGTAGGTCAGTGTTGTGTGTAAAACTCACTTAGTTTTAAACCTACTTTAATTATCAAATAACACACAAAAGGCAGTGAACCTATCAATTGTGGTATAGCTAAATAAGCAGGGTATCGAACACAGGGAACGACAAATTAAATTAAAAACTAATTCTATCTAAGTTGATTAAGAAATAGGGGTTTTTCTCTAGTTTTACAAGACTAGAAACTTACTAACTATAACTAATTAAGACTAGAAAATAACGATTTAACT